ATAAGATCATACGATCACTGGCAAAACTGTCACAAAGGCTACATTGGGATGCAGCCTAGGGAGGTTTTGGGGATTAGAAATAAATCAAAGATATATATTTGTCTTATTTTAAATATAGCTCAGTATGTATTAACCTATTAAAGTCCAAAAAAGTCCATTTCCTTATGAATTTAGTTACAAGACAATAATAAAAATACACATTAAAATAGGTAAACTATTTTTTTTTTGGTTACATTGGAGGAAAGAAAACCCCACTAAGGTTCAATCCTGGGTGCCATGGGGGAGGGGGAATGCACCACCATTGTGGTGGGAACCCATTGGCTAAAATAGGTCAACTTTCAGTTATGTTTTTGAACATATTTTCATTTTGACAATATGTGGTTTTTGGTTACATTTAATATGTAATTGTTTTATGTTAAAGCTTATTGGAAATTGTGAAGGGCCAACTCCAGTAATTAAGATGATTTACCATTGCACTCAAGGTTCGATTCCCCCTCCCCATAATATCGAGGTCTTTAATTTCTAGAAAAACTATAAAAATTATAAGTACATAAATTAATGATAATGAAATTTTTAACTAATAATTTTAGCTAGCCTACTTATTAAAAAAATTATGATTTCGCCCTTTCATACGATAAAAAGTGTAAGTGTAGTAGGTAGGTTGACACTACTAAAAAACTACTAGGAACTGATTAAAGTTTTAGTATTGATCCCAACTGGTTTCCCTAGACAAGACAAATAACAACTTTATGAGGATGAGTTGAAGAAATTATATTGAAGAGATTGAAGAATAGCTTCATTTCATTTGTATATGAAGAAAAACATGCACATAGGTTTGTATAATAAATAATACATACCAATTTGAAAATTCGTATATCCTTTATTTGGCTTATTATGTTAAGTGTCTTTTGGACGATATAAAAATAAGATATCTATCTAGTAAGTGCCACGTAGACATGTTAAAATATTATATTATTTACTGGATGGATTAATTCTTAATTAATTAGCTTCGACCTTATCTGTGAAGATTATAGTTATATTGATAATGTATTTTATTCTACGTAAAGCTTCGACTTTCCATCATTTGTTTTTTTGTTGGCAACGCATGCAGTATGCATTCATCTTTATTATTAGCTTAGCGGGGTGAAAATAGCAACACTCCGTTTGTATATACTATCATATAGAGTTATAGAGCATCACTCTCCCTCACTTCTCTCTCTATCTCTCTTAATAATGATATGGGGGTCGTTTTCAAACATATAACGTTTTACTTGATGATTTTTTGACTCATATATACTAATCCTAAATTTCCCCCTTTTTTCAAAAAGAGAACTGATATCACACACAACGTACCCATTGAATTATTCAAGGTTGAAAATGTTACATCATGTCCCTATGAACAATCCTAAAGTTGCTTATTTTATATATATTTCCCTTCTATGGAAGGATTTTTCAAATAATTTTATTTGAGGGATACCCTTTAGGGTACCTTACAACAAAAATTTCAATGATTCAAACTATCTATTTTTTAGGTTCTCGTTCATAAATTATCTTTGCAAAAAATTAGACAAATCGGAAACTATTTAGACATCTAATTGTGTCCTACAAAATCAATGAATATGGTGCTTCAAGAAAGTACAAAATTTTTAATAATTTAATTGAGTGGTCAAATGATATCGGATTCGAGTGATTTTTTTATAGAGATGATCTTTGAATAAATATCTACAAAATAGACAGTTTGGATTAGTAAAATACAATCTGGATATATATATATATATATATATATTGTTGGAAAATAATGAGATTTAAATTGCTATATATTTAAAGAAATCAGAATTTAGTCCATACAAATAAATACCAAATTAAATGCATAAAATAATTCAAACAATATAAAAGAAGTTTTTGAAAAACCATAATATAGTCGAGTCTAGAACTTGCTTCTATCTCCTTAAGACAAAATTGCCCATCATTGGTGATTCAAGGTTCTAATGACTAACGTCCCTTAGGATACAATGACCTCCAAACCACAAGAACAATACACAAACTTGTGTTTGAACTCTCTCAATATGAGACACTATTAAACTGACAAAGACTCATGAATGGGATTAATTCAAATGATGTAATGGACTTCTCTATTTATAGATCATTCCTACAGTTACAGTATGTGACTTTAATATGAAAAGACAAGTAATGCATCTCTTTATTTAAGAGACGCATTGTTTCAAACTTGAAAATCACATCTTGTCGAATTTAATTTTCATAACAGAAAATTAATAAATTTTCCAACATATATATCAACATGAGATGAGGTAGGCAGGCTAGCTAATCTTAGTGAGGCGCCACTCTTTTTTCCCAGAATTTTTGAAGAATCTGGTGTTTCCGGCCGACGGGGATATCTAATTATAAAGGTCGATTTGTACCAAAATTAACCAAGACTGGTGCACGTGAAGCCATCCGTCATGTTCCAATTTTAGGGACACAAAATCAAAATCCATGATGTGCATGGCCTACGTGGCCTTCGTTTTCGGCTAAACAGTGTCTCCAAAATTAGGGGTAGAGGGAATTTGCGAGGCAATTTAGGGAGAAGATTCTGATCCAACGTCAACGATGAGGTTTTAATTTGTTTCAACTTTTGGATTAAGCACTAATAAATTCGGAGTCAAACTCCCTCACTTCATCCTGTGTAATACGATTATTAAACAGTTCTTATTATTGTAAGTTGGCCTGCAAAAACTAAATTAGTGCATCACATTCTATGGGTAGCCAGTTAGCTGATTTCTTGTGTAGCACCGTGCAATCTATGACTTGTAAATATATGTATTTAAAACCAACAAATAAAAAAATCAAACCCCAAAACAAAAACGAGAGAGAGAGAGGAGTTTTTTTATAAATAAAAAATTAGTACCATCGATGGTCTAAATTATAGGGATTGGGGATTTCTCGCACACACACAACTATGATATTGGGAATTCGAACCTTAAACCTCTAATATGCAAGTGAAGATCCTTTTCTACATGAGAGAGAGTATTCTTTGGCCCATTGTATATATATCTTTGAGCAACAATCTAGCTAGGCTCAATAATGAGCCTTTCTCATAGCTAACCCCAAGGGGCCGTTTGGTTCATGGGAAAGGAGGCATGGGAATGAGAATTCAATTGCTTTCCCATGTTTGGTAAGTCCGGGAATGGGAAATGGATTCCTGGCACATGGGAAACTAGGGGGTAAAGTGATGCCCCCCTCTTAACTTGGGTTTTGTTTTCCCTCCTCATGGGAAAGTTTGGGAAAATGAGCCAACATTCAATGCACAATTTTCATGACTATTTTGTCCCTATGAACAATTTATAATTACAACGTATCATTAAATGCATTCTTTTTTTATTTGATTTAATATGGATATAATTGGAAAATTATACAAACTTTGTTTTCCATTCCTACTCAAAACAAACATGGGAAAGGAAACAAAGTGAAATCTCCCGATTACTTTCCCAACATTACCAAACGTGGGAAAGGAATCTTTCATTCCCATTCCTTGGGAAATCACATGGGAATTGATTTCGCCTCAAATCCATTCCGTGAACCAAACGGGGCCCAAAGGTTTACATGTTCTTTTTTTTTGCCAATAAAACTTTCTTTCTTGTTGTTTTAGCCCATATAAATCAAAGCCCAAAATTCTAAAGAAGTCAAGCCCCTTGAACATGTTTAAATAGTTCCATCTCTTATATTATGCATTCTGCTAAATGAATTTTAAAATTAACTGAGTATATCCTATAATCTAAGTGTATCCTAATATTTAAATTAAAATATAAAATTAACTAAGTACACTTTATTTAACTATCAAAAATACCCTTGATACACCCTAATACACTCTATCACACAACACCAAATCCATTCGAGAGATGGCTGCCAAACGCTATTAGACCACCAAACCCACTTTGCTACCAAACACTCCATCAGACCACCATATCTGTCTTCACAATAGATGAATGTAAAAAGTAACATAGATGAATGATACAATTGATTTTGGGAAAACATGTGCCCTCAACCAACCTAAGATGCTAAGCAGCAGTTTGTCAAAAACACATCACATACTTCACCTAGCTATGGCCGCTAAGTTGATCGCTTATTAACTGCAAATTGTTCTTCAAATTAAACCTTGTCACCGAAGGTGTTTTCTGTTCGAATGTTGCGGTAAGTAGCAACAAAAAACACTTTATTAGGTTTAAGTTTTAATTATTGAATTGGGGCCAACGCACCCACGGTAAACCCTGTTTAGAAAAATAGATCATAACTTTTTAGAGAAACAAAACAAAAACAATATTACTATTGGAAATTTACTGAAATTGTTTTTTTCTTGAAAACATTATATATATAAAAAAGTGGACCACAATTGGCTTTGGAAACTGGTAGGATTTTTCAGAAACTGAAAATTTTGGTTTGATAATTGGTAGACTACTCAGAAAAGTAAAAGAAAATAGTAATCTGATTTTGAAAATGTAAAAAGAGAGAAGAGATGTTGATGAAAATTTTGATGTTAATTACTGATTCGATGAACAAAACTTCTTTTAATAGACGAAAGGGACATCAAAATAGACGTCTCCATCAACTTGCAGAGGGGTTGGCTCCCCTTTCTTTGTTACAGAGCGGCTCAAAGTGAAGGTAAACACATGAGTAGAAGAAGATTTGGGCTGAGCAGTGGCCCAGGCCTCCCCTGCATAGAACCACTGCATATGATGATTTATATCTGTCATCACAATTCAATATATCTGTTTTTGTCATTTTATATTAGGGTGAATTAATAATTTAATAAATAGTTTGTTAGTAAAGTGTATTCAATTAATTTTTGAGTTCGTTTAGCTGCACTCTATATTATTTATGCGTTCATACGAATTTGCTAAACAATAAACACATCAAACATTTCTCGTATTTTTCATCAAAACAAACAATCGGGTAACGATACAAAAAATTTAAAAGAAAAAAGAAAAAAAGGCAAACCAAATAAATTTACAGAAGTTGAAATTAATTAATTTGATCCAGCAGATCATATAAATGAATGAATTCACAACCTTTTCAAATATATATATGCACGACCACACACACACTCACAATATTAATCTACTAGAGGAAAATAAAACAATCGAGAGAGATTAAGGGGTTGTCAATGTCCTCAGCTGGAAGAGAGTCCATATAGTCAGCTAGAGCTTCTCCAACTGCAACTTCATCAATTTTGGAGCTGATCCTGTGAATGCGCGTCTCTGTTTCTCTGCTCCTCAAACAAGGTCTAAGCAGCCGGCTTGAATTGCTGTAATTTGAACTTGCTGCAGGCCTGAGATTGAACGCGTTAGGCTTTGAATGGCTTGATTCTTTTGGTGGGTTTGCCATGTTGAACCTTCTGCTTGGAGAAGGTGACCTCAAGATTCTACTTGGGTGAGAATATGCAGAGATCATAGGCGGTCTCTCTGGCTCTTTTCGGAAGCTCTTTTGTCTTGTTAATGGGGTTGGTGAACTTGACCTCATTCTCTTCTGAGGTGTAACAGACGCATTTGCGTTTTTCAGGTTTGGCTGCTTCTTCTTCACTGCTGCTGGCAAAAGCGGCTTCTGTGGCAGTGATGATGAGGAAAAGCTTGCTTCTTTGAGTGAATTAATCCGAACTACATGTGGGTTTTCCTTGTAACATGACCACAAGAACTCGTTGGAGAAAGACCGGTCGATTTTCGAACTCAAGACTGAAGAAGCACTTGACAGGGTTGAGGTTAGTGAGCTGCTGGTGTGGGAAGTGCTTGTGTTGGTGGTGCAAGTGAAGGAAGAAGCAGAGGAAGTGGAATTGGAAGGGGATGGAGGAGAGGGGGAGATTTTGTTTGAAGCAGAAATTGGAGGAGCAGCTAATCTAGATGGAGCTTGTGAGATTACCAGCTTGTCTTGGACATGATTGAGTTCATCTATCATGTGTCTTCTGGGTCTGCATTTGCTAATGCAAGAACCCATTTGCTAGAATTTGATTAAAATGAGGCTAGGAAATTAATGTGGAACATAGGAGTGACCAAATTTATATAGTGGTGATACTATTTTATTTGTGAAAACTGAGGAAAAAGGTGGGTGGGTGTATGAATGTGGCTTTTGCTTTTGTTCTTTTGCTTTTCAGATATTTGAATTTGGTTGCCGGGTATGAAATCCGTTGGGCAACGGTTACGAAGACGGTGGCTGGCTGCTTTCATGATTTCATCATGCCTCCCTAACTTTAGAGTGGAAATTGCAGACAATGTTTGGGAATTAATTCTTTGTTGCGCTTAGTTTGGGCATGCCCAAAATAATTTGTGGTCCAATTGGAAACCCAACTTCTTTTTTTGGTCTGGCATTAAGCTTACTCATCAGCCCCATTTTCTCTTCAGGTATGTTTTAGGCCCACTATGCAGGCAGCTACTGTATTTATCTGTTTGTTTAGAGCAAATCCACCCATGAAGGCTAAAGCAAGGGTTGTCACTATTCACGTGAATAGTGGCAGCCTTACTTTTTTTGGTTCCATCCCAAAAGGCTAGGGTAAGAGCAAATACTATTCACATGAGATATGAAGAGATGAATTTGTATAGAGTTTTTGGTGTGGGAAGTAAAGAATATGCCTAGGTATTTATTGAAAAAAATTCTGGAATTTTTGGTATTTTTTTTCAAATTTTTTTGGTTGCTGACATCATTATGACATCAGCATTGCATCATCTGCCCAGGCAACAGCTCGGGCTGAATTTGCCCGTGGGCGTGCCTGGGCTCGTGGGACCCAGCTCTTGCCAAGGCTGGCCTTGCGCGCTAGAGGCGTTTTGGGCTAGCCTGGGGGGCCTTTAGCCCGATTTGGTAGCAAGGCTGGACTTGCTCTTACTTCATTCAGATTTCGACCGCAGTCGTGTGTGGACACTGAGCATTCTCAGCTGTTGATGAATGTAATCAACACCATCAGAATCACACCATCAAAATTCCAAAAAAAGTTTCAACGCAATCAAGAAAATTGTCATTGGCAAACAAACTTGGACATAATATTACCAAACACAAACTCCAATAGTTTCCAAACAAACAAGTCATGAACGTTAATTACTGATACTAGCTACATCAATTCCGAAATTCCAAACTACACAGGATGATAATAATAAGGGGACTACATTAGGGTTTATTTCACATAAAGCTAGAGTTGAGAAATATTTACAGAGCAGAGCAGCACATGAAGATACATGATAAGCTTCAGTGCTTGATCATGGTGATTAGGAGGAAGACGTGGCAAAGGGTTTAACCATGTCAGAAACAATCTTCTTCATCACAGCTCCTCTAGGTGGCACAGGTGCCCTCACGCTAACCGGGACCTGGCTAGATCCGCCTCCACTAGATGAGCGTTTACTTGAGCCTCCCCCATCACTCATTGCTTGAGCTCAGCTTCAAGTCCCAGTAGGAGGATGGGCCAAGAAGATAGAAGCAAATGGAAATAATGCAGACAAAGCTGTTTTTCTCACACATTAAATATACACACAACCAGGGCCTAGGTCAGATGTTGCTTGGACATTATATGGAGCAATATTACAAAGCGGGCACGCTCTCAGCTTCTTACTGTGGAAATACCCATCAAGGCCACTGAATAATTATGCAACCACGTCACCCTGTGTACATCATCATGGTCGAAATCGGTGGGCTGGTTAAAATCTTATCTTCATCGATTCATAGGGACCACGGCGGATTTAATTAAGAAGCATTTATGTTGTTTTGTGGTTAATAATCGCACATGATTAACGGAATGTGGTCGGCTGGCTTGACCGATGTAGCCCTAGGAGGAAAGGGATTTCTTGACAGCGATTGTCACAAGGAACCGAAGCCCCAAAGACACCAAACTAACAACAAATTAGCCTGGCCCAACCAATTAAATCAGAAGTAGCATTCAAATAATTGAAGCCCAATTTTAAGCCCCGCCTTCAACTGCCATCTCGCTTTCGTTTTCTTTTTCTCCTCGTCACGTTCATTGCTAATTCACTCATATTATAACATGTAAGTTAATAACATCATCAAATCAAATGATAGTATTATAAGAGAAAAAAAATAATAGAAACATCACCAGACGGTTACGCCACCAAAAAAATCATGTCGATATGATGCAGGATTTGATTACCAGATTATGTCATGATTGGCAGCCATGACATCATCTGATTGATTTCCCTCTCAATTTTTCTTTTGAGAGAGGGAGGTGGCACCTGCTGTAAATTTACTGAATTTTATATAGAGTGAGGAGCAACATGGACCGTTGATCTATGTGACTTTTAAACGATAATGGGGATTGGGAAATTGGCTCAGGTATTGTCAGGGTTGTATCCCATGATACCTGTGTCGTAGAGCGCTAGAGGTTCATATACAATTTGACTGTCAACCTCTGAGAGAATAATTCATTTGAAAATGCAAAAGAACGGTTTTGGAATTTCCAAGATACTAAAGTGATTTTTTATTTATAATATTCTAAGTAACTCTACTATACGGGAGGGATATCGCACTTGGTTGTAACTTGTAAGAGAACCGGTACGTACATCTTGGTTAACTAGCCTAATTTACGTTGGTATACTTTGTTTGGTGTCAATAGATTTGATTTGATAAAAATAATATTATATGTTATTGTGGATTTACATAATCAGATTGTTTGGGAGTGTTTCGTTCTGAAGCGCTTATGTCATAAGCGCTTCTACAAAAAAGCAGTTTGTCATTTGGATGTTATATTTAAAAGTGCTTTTATACTACATAAAAACGTTTTTGATATTTTGTTGAGTGTTTGGCTAACACAATAAAAACACTTTTAAAAGTAGTTTTAAAAAAATTAAAGAAAATAAGCCTTTTTTATATTTACAGAAAATATCTCAATTTTTAGAAGAAAAGAAACTCCTTGAATAGAAATCTTCCATTGGGTAATTCACAATTAAGATGTTGGTGTTGCAGTCTATTTGGGTTTCTGGTTGGGGATCACAAAAGGAACTGGATGAAGCCAAGTTGAATTTTGTTACTGTTGAGGTACCAAATTTGAATTTTCAATGGGATGCATATATCTTTGCCTAATCTTTCTAGGCTCAGTAACCTAATGGGCTGTCCTGTTTGGTTTTATTGATTCCATGCAGGGTGACCACGTGAGTTTCTTAAATGTCTATAAAGGATTTCTTCAGTTTGGTAAACCTTCTCAGTGGTGTCATAAGAACTTTGTAAACTACCAAGCCATGGTGTGTATCAGTAATTAGTTGGTTTGATAAATTTAACAGATGTGGAATAAAGTCAGAAAATAAAGAGCAAATCTCTTCAATATTGAGAGAAGCCATGAGAGAGATGGAATAGAAGCTTAAGGGTTTCCATGGGTGTTTTGCCATCTGATAGGTTTTGGCGTCTGTTGGGCTTTTCGCAGATGGTGTTTTGGTTTTAATAGGAGAGAAAAAGAGAGAGAGAAAATAAAAGAAAGAAAGGGTATTTTGGCATTTAAAAAAAATTAAATATGGGTATTTTCAACATTTTTAAAGTTTCATTAAAAAGAGCAAAATGCTTCTCGTGGTTTTGTCCTGCAACGCTTTTAAGAAGAAGCACATCTCAAGTGTTTCTTCTAAAACCACTCCGAGTGCTTTTGGATCTCACCCAAAGCGCTTATGCAATTTTTGCCAACACATCATTTTAAAAAGATAGAAAACGCTTTCACCCATATAGAAGAGCTTTTCGCTGCTTCAAGAGCACTCCCAAACGAGCCCTTATAAAACTCATGCAGGCTTTGAAAATATGAAACCCTTTTCCAAATTATATGTAATAATTTTTCTATTGAAAGGCTTTTCTAACGTTTGAAATTGTAGGTTTTCTGAGGTTATAGTTTTATAGCGTGAATTCTTCCTTAGGGTGACAGAAAAAGGAACTGAAAAAGCTCAAGGACGTTTTTTCGAAAAGGGTAACTCTTGGAAAGTGCTTAACACTTCCAAGATTCCAACTTTACCGATTACTTTTTACTTTGCTTTTGTCCTGTTACTGCCTCTGGGGTTCCCCTAATTAAAAAAATCTATAAAAAAAATTAAAATAAGAATCCTGAGGCCTTAACTATTGGGTGAAAAAATCAGCTGATGGAGAATGTTCATAATATCTAAGGTTTCAACAGAATCTTACAAATTTACAATCTCTCTCTCTCTCTCTCTCTCTTTCTCTAGTGAGTCTACTACATAAGAGAATAACTCTAGTTCTGGCCTTTTCTCCCAAACAAGTGAATAAATCTAGGCTTTCAAGAACCAAGTTGCAAAAGAAAACCATGCATTGGCTAGAATAGGCTAGATTGCCTAAAGCCTATGCTGAGGTCTTGAGTAACTCAAAAAGCTTCAAACTTTGCAGCATTTGGGGAACATTTCAAGGCTCCAAGAGCAAAAAACAGTCTTCTTCCCTCTTCTGGGTTTTTGCTAAAATGTCAATGCCATTAGATCAGCAACCTCCACCAGACTTTGTGCTGCAGCAAAATGCGAACCCTAACTCACCCCATGGCTCCATTGGTGCAGTGGTTGCTGTTCTTGTTGTGGTCCTAATCTTGGGTGTGGTTGCTGTTGTAATTGGGAGGCTCTGCTCTGGTAGGAGCATAATGGGATATGGCCATTATGATTTGGAGAGCTGGGCAGAGACAAAATGCTCATCCTGCATTGATGGAAAAATCAACCCACCACTTTCCAGGCCTAATGTGTCTTGCTCCTCTGTTTCAACTTCAGCTCCAGCCCAAACCCATCAAGGATCTGAGCTTCAGCAAGAAGAGCAATCTCCTCAAACCCCTCAACCTGCAAATCTTTGATGTTCTAGCTGTTGGGTTTTTTTGGATATGGTAGCAGTTGAAAACTCCTCTATCAGTTGTGTTTTGTTTGTTCATTGTTTTTACATTTGTGATGTTGGTATCATTGATTTTGCAGACTGAAATGCATTTTTGAGACTTCTCTTTGAATTTTGAATTGCCACTCCAAGTTTTTTGTTTAATTGAAAAGAAAAAAAATAGATTGTTTTAGCTAGAAACTGCTGTCAGGCAGCTGTTTTACTGTACTTTTTTTAGATTCAATTGCAAGCAAACAACATTGCTCACAGCTTCAAAATCAACCCACCAGCTATGAGCATTAATGAAAGTTTGTGGGGACCCAATGAAGGTGAGTAGTATAACTGGTTCAATTATGATTGCAGAAGCAACAAAATCATATTCTTTTTCAGGGTTGATAATGATGGGTACTGGTCCTTTTGAGTTTTTGGTCATTTCCCACCAATTCAGTAAACAATCTGCCATCTGCTAGCTGCTGAAGTTATTGTGCTCTAAATGTAACACATTCACCTCTTAAAGATACCTTCTTTTCTTCACTTTCAGGTTTCATGTGATGATTTCTCTGTTTTTTAAAACTCAAATTTGCCTTCTTTTTATTGCAATGCCTTGAAATCAAGATCTTCAAACAACACCTTATCGGAGGAGATCAATGGTTAAGGCAAATTGGTTAGTTGTTGAATCAAATTGGTTAATACGGCCCTCACTATAGAATGACTCATGGTTAAGGTTAAGGTTGGGCTATGACTTTTAGGTCCATTGAGCTAGAACTAGGCAGCCCATTGAGCCCATTTGTCATCATGGGCTTCCCACCCCTTTTCCCAAATTTTCTCAGTAACCAAACAGACTCCACCATCATCTTGAAAATGGTAACTCACCAAGCTTTCGCACAATGCAATCAGCAAGTAATTCCCAAAAACACATAAAAATCAAACCCAAAAATTTTCAAAAAGTATGTCAAACTTTGGGTGAAGCGCATTGCCGATATAATTTTCCACGAGCCTGCAAACTGAGACAATTTCAAAATAAAATAAAAATGCCGGTGGTTGACCGTTTCGTGTGATAACAAACCCACAATTACATTCCGTTGCCTTGGCTGACTTTTTAAACTGCTAATGCGCTACTAATCATATCAACTGCATCAAATTCTTGTTCTAAGTGGATAATGACCAAATTCACGATGACGAGAACAATTTGTCAGCCGATAATTTTACCCTTTTACCCTCCCGTTTTCTGGTCATGCCCTCACACAAATTACAATCCCAGCTGCAAAATTTGAAGTATGGCAATTCAGTAATTACCAAGGCCTCACATTTTCACCAACCAAAGAGAAAGAGGCAATTCTGGTCACATTTTTTTGCCCTATATAAACCCCATGAGCCCTCATGCTTTCTCATCACCTTCTCATATTCAAGTTTTCAATATCTTAGCACATTATTGAAGGAGCAATATACTTTGAGATACAAACAGCTAGCATGGCTTTGAGTTATAATGCACGAGGGTTCCTTCTGCTTCTAGCTGCTGCTTCTCTACTGGCAGCAAGCGAGGCCAGAACCCTCGTCGTTGGAGGCTCTGAAGGCTGGCGTTATGGCTTCAACTACACCGATTGGGCTTTCCAAAACAGCCCCTTCTACATAAAGGACCAATTGGGTAAGCACCCCCGTGTTTTTTTTTTTTAAATTTATACAAACGAAACTATATTAGGAGAAACAGGATTTGAACACAGGACTCGGAGGCATGAGTAACTGTTCTAAACCCCCCCCTGCCCTAGTACGTGCATGAAATCATATAATGCATGTGAAATTATTCAAACTTTGTTTTATGTGATCTGATTTTGCAGTGTTCAAGTATGAGAACGACTCTGGTTACAGCGTGCACCAGCTCCCAAACCTGTGGAGCTACATAAAGTGCGATTTCAGCAAAGCCAAGCTGTTGGCAAGTGAGACGCAGGGAACTGGTGAGGGCTTCAAGGTTGAGCTGACTGAGTGGAGGCCATCTTACTTTGCCAGTGGTGGGAAGGATGGCAAGAACTGCAAGGATGGGCTCATGAAGTTGTTTTCGGTCCCACTGCCACGTTGGAATTAATCGCACTTTTTTTTTCCAAACTGCTCTATTTTGGGGCTATATATACACACATATACACTCACACCAGATTGATTATGGAGTTGAATAATTCTGGAGGGTTATTAGTGAAAATAAGGGTGAAGGGTTTCCTTCTTGATTTCCCATGTTACACTGTACAAGTGGGGAAAAAGTGTTTGAATAATTTGTCTCTGTTTCTTGATTTTCATGTTCACAATAAAGATTATTTTGTTTGAACTTTCTTTTACATTAATTCCAGAAATTAAACCAAAAAAATAAGATTAGGCTTCATAAATACAAAGGAAAATGCTCAATCTATTATGTTTATGTATCTTGCCGATTCTTATATGAATTTGTAACTCAAATTAACAAGTCATAAAACGCAAGCGCTTGATTAATCGAAGATGCCTCTGCTGTATGTGTTGGAAGAACGTACTCACATAACAGTGCATGATTGGCTTACCATGACCGTGGACGTTCCCATTGCACGAAAGTTCTTCTCCAGTGTTGGGTCTTACTCCAGCATTATAGTCTACATAGAACTGGGCTATATTATACTGAAAACCCAAGATTTGGCTAGGGCTATTATTGGTCTATGGGCCTTTGACAACCCAGAATATTTGTCGTGGTCACATGTCGCTCATTATGATTTCCGATTTTCTACGATGGGGTTTTGGCAGATTTAAAACATGCTTTTCATGCATGCATGAATCAACTACACAAATCCAAAAGTGCTTCTGTAGAAGTGGGGCACAACTTTGAGTTTCCAACCACGCCAAAACAAGGTGCCGCTATGTCGTACGCTTTTTCCTCCAGTGGCAGAAAAGTGATTCCAAAAGTCTCGTTTTCCATGAAGAGAGATACAAGTCAGTGGTGGCCTTTTAAATTGCTTTCAATCAGACTTTGAACTTGTTTTCATTCAGATACAGGGGGACGAATTGCACTTTGATTCTAGACTAAATGCATAGCAATACGTTCTTGAAGAAAAAGCAAAAACAATAGTCCGCTTTTGTAAGGACCTGAGTTAAATCAAAATTCATACAAATTTTTCATACCCAACTTCTTTTTTCTTATACAATTGATATTGATGGAGGGGAATTTGAACACATAATCTCTAGTACATGCATATATAACTGCTCCTAAACACTTGAGTTACACGCCCTTACACACGCAACTTTTTTTAAAGATGTAACGAAATTTTAGCCGGACTAGTGTTGAGCAACATAATTTGTTCCCTTTTTTTGGTTGAGTAGTTATGTCGTTTTCTTTCGTTGGTACTGTCTATAATTATACGTTCTTATCCCAATTGTCTAATATGGATATAATTATATTCCCTGGGCAGCTGGGATCCAGAATCCCAAGTACTTCTAGTAGGTGCCAATTACCAAAAAAAGTTATATTATGTTAACGAGTATTCCCTAAGGGAGTTGATTTCCCCACTCTTCTTTTCTCCACTTACACTTCCTTTTGCTTTTTAATCAATTTTGTTTTTTTTTTTTTCATATTCTACCCTTACCCTACATTAATTTATTTTTTACTTCACTTTTATATATTTTTTTTTCTTTATTCTTAATTTTCCAACTTACACTCCGTTTTTAGTATTAAAGGGAAAAAAAAACTTAATTTATTATTCAATTAAAGGAAAAAATATATTGAAAATGGAGTGCAAGTTGGATACCCAACTTCTTTTTTCTTATACAATTGATATTGATGGAGGGGAATTTGAACACATAATCTCTAGTACATGCATATATAAATGCTCCTAAACACTTGAGTTACACGCCCTTACACACGCAACTTTTTTTAAAGATGTAACGAAATTTTAGCCGGACTAGTATTGAGCAACATAATTTGTTCCCTTTTTTTGGTTGAGTAGTTATGTCGTTTTCTTTTGTTGGTACTGTCTATAATTATACGTTCTTATCCCAATTGTCTAATATGGATATAATTATATTCCCTGGGCAGCTGGGATCCAGAATCCCAAGTACTTCTAGTAGGTGCCAATTACCAAAAAAAGTTATATTATGTTAACGAGTATTCCCTAAGGGAGTTGATTTCCCCACTCTTCTTTTCTCCACTTACACTTCCTTTTGCTTTTTAATCAATTTTGTTTTTTTTTTTTTCATATTCTACCCTTACCCTACATTAATTTATTTTTTACTTCACTTTTATATATTTTTTTTTCTTTATTCTTAATTTTCCAACTTACACTCCGTTTTTAGTATTAAACGGAAAAAAAACTTAATTTCTTATTCAATTAAAGGAAAAAATATGTTGAAAATGGAGTGCAAGTTGAAAAATTAAGTATAAATAAAAAGAACTAATATAAAAGTGAAGTAAAAAGAAATTAATGTAGAATAACGGTAGAATGTGAAAGAGAAAGAACAAAATTAATTAAAAAGTATTAAAAATCAAAAGGAAGTGGAGAAATCAGATCTCTTAACCTAATTATAACTAAATTCCAATCACAATAATTTAGTTATAGCCCCCAGTTTTAATTTGCACCGTCACAAATTCAGAAAAGCAAGCAAGCATATTTAGGAGAGAATTTTATATTTGGCTATATTATGTTAACGAGTATTCCCTAAGGGAGTTGATTTCCCCACTCTTCTTTTCTCCACTTACACTTCCTTTTGCTTTTTAATACTTTTTAATCAATTTTGTTTTTTCTCTTTCATATTCTACCCTTACCCTACATTAAATTATTTTTTACTTCACTTTTATATATATATTTTTCTTTATTCTTAATTTTCCAACTTACACTCCGTTTTTAGTATTAAACGGAAAAAAAACTTAATTTCTTATTCAATTAAAGGAAAAAATATGTTGAAAATGGAGTGCAAGTTGAAAAATTAAGTATAAATAAAAAGAACTAATATAAAAGTGAAGTAAAAAGAAATTAATGTAGAATAACGGTAGAATGTGAAAGAGAAAGAACAAAATTAATTAAAAAGTATTAAAAATCAAAAGGAAGTGGAGAAATCATATCTCTTAACCTAATTATAACTAAATTCCAATCACAATAATTTAGTTATAGCCCCCAGTTTTAATTTGCACCGTCACAAATTCAGAAAAGCAAGCAAGCATATTTTGGAGAGAATTTTATATTTGGGCAAAAGCAAAACTTGGAAAAATAAGCATCCAACTAAGCCCACTAATTAAATACTTAACAGCTTAAACATCATCCCCCTTTTCTTGTCTTTTCGAATCTCATCAAATTCCATACTAACTTCCACTTGTTCGTTGGTGACAGGCTGTAACGCTCAGTTTATAGTAGAATTTCCCCAACTTGAAAAACTTTATACCAAATAAAACTGTATACAAACGATACGAGAGAAGGAGGAGAGGAGATTCGAACATAAGATGTCGGGTGCAATGATAACGGCAGTTAACTGCTACAAACCCATTGCAAAGCTTCTTAGTTTATAGGCACTCGAAAAATCTTACATTTGCCTTACGAGAGCTAATTGAAAACCACATATATTAACAGGACATTAATAGAAATTAAGAACATTGATTAATAATCAACGAAGCCCAGAAGGCTCAGAAAATGTTGTTGACACGTAATCTCGAACCTCCTTAGCTATAACATCCCTCATGGCATCCCAAAACCCCGACGGCAAACTCTCACTCCTTTGCTGCGCCGACACCATAGCGGCCCCGCCAATCCCCGGCGGCGCCAAAGTCAACTCGGTCAACGGGTCAAACTCCACCGACCCATTAACCAAAGTTCCAGAAACCGAACTCGTGCTCATCCCTTCATTATTAGCTACATTGCCGCCACCGCCAACAAAATGAACGCCGTCCATTTGGTGATGATGGTGATGTTCTCCTCCTACCCTTCTCTTCAACGTCGAGTTCCAGTGGTTTTTCACGGCGTTGTCGGTTCGACCGGGGAGCAACCGGGCAATGGTGGCCCACCGGTTCCCGAATCGGGCATGGGCAGCCAAAATGGTCTCGTCCTCAGCCTGCGAAAAGGGTCGGTGCTCGACGTTCGGGCTCAGCTGATTGCACCATCTGAGCCTGCAAGACTTACCCGACCGACCCTTTATGTACCGGCTTATCAAGGACCAGTTTCTGGGTCCGTAGCGCTCGACGAGCCGGGTCAAGACCCGGTCCTCTTCCGCGCTCCACGGACCCTTGATGCGTTCCGGCTTGTTGGGATTTCTGGGAAGAGAAGACTCTGAAGAGGAAGTGTCGGAAGAGGAAGTGGAAGACGAGCACCTGTTCATTGCTTCCATTGAAACAGTGTTGGTTGGTTTTGTGAGGTGAGTGAGATGAGTGAGTGGTGTTTGTGAAAATGCGCCAGAGAGAGAGGAAGTTAAGGAGAGAATGAGAGGAAGGATGGGTTTGGGTGTTGAGTTATATATGGGAAGAGGTGCATGCATTTGCTGTTTTGATTGGATGCCCAATCCGATGGGTTTGAGCCTTTTTTTAGAGAGAAAGGGTACTTCCACGAAACTGGCTTTTGTAAAGTGGGTAAGGCTACTACTAACTAGAACTGAGTGCGCGTAGATGCGCACCCCTTATTCTCACAATTTTTTCCTTTTTTTTTTTTTTCTCTTTCTGTGAGCAAATTTGTCCCGGTCTAATTGTTGCCTTGTCTCGACCTTCTGGGTTTTGCCCTATTGACTATTCTGGCCTTCCTCCAACATATTTAGATTAGATGAGTTGTCATGTCTTTCTTGGTGTAAATTTGTGACAGATTGTTCATATCACGTTACAATGTTGAAAAAAATTATACTAAGTGATAAGAATTAGTGGTTTTTCTTTCATTTCTTGAATATTGATGCGTGATATGACTGCTCAACACAACTTTTTTTCCCGTTTTACCCTAAAAACATTTTTCTTATGTTTTCAGTAGTCCTACTTGCACTTATGGTTATTGGATAGAGTCCACTCATATTTGTCCAAGTTCGATCTATCTTCTAGAACGTAAACGATTTAAAATAAGCTCCTAGTTAAATCTAGACCTACATATTTAACCTAATAAATCGTTGTCAAACATAATTAGAATGGAATTGAGTTACTTGATTAATATCAACCATGTTTGATTGGGATATGTTTTGACTCTTGTTTCCTAGTGTTGTTTTCATAACGAATCATGACGGTTTTACACCCAAACTGTTTAAGAACAACATTATGTGTTTAAGGGTAGGGCATATAGTTAATTTACAAAGAAGTTGAGGCATTGCAATTGGAGAGTGGCAAAAACGGTAAATCACTACATAGGAGGAGCCAAAGAAATCTCAAGGGGCAGGGACTGGGAGGAGAAAAAAAAAAAAAAAGTAATTAAATCATTCTCGTACTGGGGACAAGAGGGAGAGAAGTTATAAATTAGGGAGCGTTTAACACATGACAGGAATTGCAGAGCTGTTTAACACACAACACAAAACGTTTAAAAATGGCAAGTGGGCCCATTCCCTTTTGACCACTTTAGCCACACACTCTTCCCAATTACAGCTGTAAGTCCCTGCCCTTATACTTATAGCCTTGGGGTCACTGAAATTAACGGCTCCTGATCGACCGTCTCAAAAAGCAAAACCCTGATAAAAAGAAGGGCCTCCTTGAAATTTAAAAATAGAGTTTTAAAGCAGTGTGAGGATGACTTCAACGTCTTCCACGTAGGAAGGCCCCACTCCCAGGCTGTAAGAATCTCACGTGATTCTAGTTGAATCCCTTTGACTTTTTAGGCTCATCCAAGAAACAAAAAAGCCACTTTCCCCGTACTCATCTTCCTAGAGCGTCACCCTCACTTTACCCCCATATTTGATCCCATCAAAAAAGGAAAAAAATTAAAATTTACCCCCCACATTTTTAGTTATTTTGTTTTAGTGCATGATGCGTGTTACGGATAAATAGTGTTGATCAAATGAATGTTCAACAATCACATTATATATTTGCCCGCAATTCTTATCTTGCATTGCTTGATTTTCTATTCTTTTTAAGTTTCGTTAAGATCGATAATTACCTACACTAACCCCATTATGCACTAGCGATTGAAGGACTAATTTGTCAATACTCTACTTTATTAGGATGAGCTTCAATTTACTTGGAAATGACAAACTTTTTTGTGTTTCACATAGTATGATCTAATGTACTTTTGGTTCAATGCTATGCACCATATTCTAGATAAACCCTTTCAACCACATCCCAATGAAATTGTGATAAAAATTATTCAAATATTTATTTGGCAAGACATACAAATATCTCTTTTGGAGCTTAATTTTGTTACAAGATAAACAGGCTTTGCTGGCAAAAGAGAACAAATTTAAGAAGCAATATTTTAATCTTAGATGAAATCATGAAAGGGAACCTAATTCATGAACAAGTAGATCATATCTTTTAATTGTTTTTAAAGATTGGATTTTGTCCCTAGGAATTGTTTTATAGGGGGAACATAAAAACGCTACGTACACCACCCCACCACCGTACATGTGATATTATTATTATTAATTTTTTTTTTTATAGCAGCCGTACATGTGTAATTTAGTAATAGCAAATTGTGGCTTCAAGACTGAGAACCACGCGCTGACCAGCTCGGTTGCAAGAGCTCCCGCAATCTGAACACAAGCGCTGTGATGATTGCATCCTAGCCGCCCACGTGGCACTATTTATGGATTTTTTGGATGGGTGTAACTTTTGGCGAGAAGCAGTTGGGCAGTTGATACTACAGCTGGCACCAAATCCTTACCCCACAGTCACCGACTTGTTTCAGAATTTTCAAACCCAAAATAACTGTGTACTAATGTTTTAAAATATAAAAAAGGTTAATGGCACTAGCACTTATCTCAGCTTGTATTTCTATTAACTGAAGCTGTGTGCCTGAGCGGACTCGAACTTTAGTGTAAAGGGGCGAGCTTACTGCTCTGATTAATTGTTTAAATCACGTCGCATAATTGTCCTTATTAGTAATTCTAGTGTCGGCAAATTCGTTCACCAAACAATTTGTTGATATACTTGTAAATTATTATTATTTAAATATCCAGAAATTAAAAAGGTTAAATAATGTTTCTCATAATTTGGTGAACAAAAGACAGTGAGTAAATTTGGTAGCCCTCCGAGCAATACTCATTTATAAATTTTACATTTACTGTTCCAAACAAATTGTTAAGGGAAAATAGTTAAAATTGTGTACGGTCGGTTGTAGGCTGCTGCAGGGTGGGCCGTGAATTTAGACCAGTTTTTATTTGGTAGATATTTTTCTGCGATGAGAGAAATTTGGGCCAGTTGTCCTGGTTACTATCAGGTGGGTCCCATGGTGTCCCCTTCCAACCCAATTGCCGGTTAGTGTTGGTCCTACAAATAAGGTCTAGCCCAATACCGCGTGATGATTGGTACCTTGTCCTTCTCGTCTTGGTCAACAGTTTGGTTAAGATAGTTGTTGATATTCTCCTTGTTTTTCTTCTTCTTGCCTCTTGTTTGTTTTTCCTCTCATCTTCTATATATGATTTTATTAAGAAAGGTTTGTTCCCTGAGTAATTCAGCTTCATTCTCGTTTCATTGGTTCCACAACATCCTTTCATTTATAAAACGTAGGAATATAATCAATTGAGTTCATACACATATATAAATTTAGTTGGGCTTGAACTTTGAAGTAATTTGATAAGTTATGACAAACTGACCGAATTCACATTTTAGGTCATTAACATGTGAGTTGAAACTCATCTCTTTAATGCTAGCTTGGAGTTCATGCATCTTATACTCTTACTATTCTTTTTTCTATATGACCTTGGTCTATGAGTGACATGACAAGTGATGCTATGAAAGCCTTATTTTCTTCATGTTAAATGAATTTCACTTGTCAAAACACATTCATACTCGAATTCCTAAACTACTAGCTTTTCTTTCTTTCTTTCTCTCTCTCATGATTTTTCATTTCCCCCCAACTCAAAATCACACAAGATCTGAAAATCTCCTTGGTTCCAAGGGATCTCTCCTTGGAATCACCCCATTCGGTTAATAATTTGGGCCTCTCCCCCACCCCCCTTCCGGTTATGTTGTGGAGAGGTTTTCCCTCCCCAACTTTTGTTGGGTTTTGTCTAATCCTTGCTTTTGCAAGGTTTTGTTTCATCCTTATTTCTCTAGGGTTCATGTTCCAGCCTTTTGGGGCTGGTTTTTGGAATATCTTGATAGATCTGCTGCTTTTGGGTCATTCTCATCTGTAACTCCATGTTAACTGGGATTCATGATGTATATATTGTCTTGTAATACTTGTGCATATTTGGTTATATTTTTCACAGTTTATGTATTGCAAGAACCTCTATTTGGGACTGTGTTCTTATTGATACAATTTTAATCGTTGAAGTAAAATGTGTGGTGGACCACAATGTGTCCTTCAAATCAAATAACATTATGGGATTATTTGAGGAAATTTTTTCTTTTCCAATTTTCTTTAGTTTTATCTTGGAAAGGGAGTTGGGTCAGAAAACATTAATTTTACAGGTACAAGCCTAAACCGGGCTAGCTAGTGTGGTCCAAACACTTTCCAGCCCATTAATGATTCTTCCAGCCCGTTAATAATTCTTTCATGAGAGATTTTCATGGAATCATCAATCAAGACATTTCCTTGATACCAATAATTGATGAGATTTCAGATACATTTTTGTTTTCTGCTGCGATTTGTGTACAATTTTCACCGTAATCAAATCTATTTCCTAATTGTTGCCCAAATAGCAATTTTTGTTCTTCCCTTAATTTGCTTCCTTTTTTGCCTGAAGTCAGAAATTATATTGGGCATGGGAAAATCCAATTTCATGGTATCAGAGGGAACCTAAGAAACTGGCTTTGGCATATTGGATATAACATTTCCATGATTTCAAACATCTGAAAACCTTCGTTTACATAACTTTAATATAACCTAGATTAAGGAAAATGGAAATCAAGTTTGTGCTGGCTAGTGAGCTCTTACAAAGAAAATACTTAATTCTGGCCCTGCAGCCCCATCTGGATTGATCATGTACAAAGCCTCAGAGTCCTTTGATCCAACAACCCTCTCAAATCTTGCCCTTATGTAGGTCAATTCTCCATCTGAAGCATATTCTTTTTCGGACGGGCTTGGAAGCACCCCTGCCCCCATTGAAACACCCCTCAAAGTCTGCATAACATGAAGTTCATCCTCTGACATTTGCTTCCTCCGAATCGAATACCCCACCTTTCTTCCATTACAATACACAGCCCAAACGAACTCCTCCAGCAGCTTCTTCTTGTTCGTCTTGGTCTCGCTCTCCAGCGCGATTCGGACTATATCCGATGCCATTTCCTTGTGGAACACACTACTGTGCATTGGCAGCTCTATCACAAAGAGTGGCATGCAATGAGGGTCTTCTTGTATGGCCAGGCTTACCCTGCCTTTTCGATACCCGAAAATTGTACCTGTGGTGGCATTGTCCTTAAGTAAAGGCTTTCGGGGTCTTCCCAACAAAGCCACCATTTTGCAGCCTGATGTTAACATGGGGAAGAGTTTGAACATCTTGAGAAGGCCTCCGGATGAGGACTTTGA